TGTGTGTGTGTGTGTGTGTGTGTGTGTGTGTGTGTGTGTGTGTGTGTGTGTGTGTGTATTAGACTATATATCTCCTTGAGCTACTCCTGTTTGAATACTTGGGCTAGGGAACTGTAATATTACTTGATCAAAAGTTAAATAGGCCTAATATAAGAGTTGGCTAAGGGCTCGATGCTCGTGAACAAGATTGGTTTGATTGGTTTGGTATTAGGCCTACAGAAACCTTTATGACCAAGAGGACAGTACGTTCCAAGCATGCGTTCTGGGTGTAATTAAGGCTAAACCCCAGCATGCTCAAACCATGTAGGAAAAAAGGCTTGACGGCTTTCATGAGATACGCATTAAAAAGGGATTTTTGAAATAACAAAGACTGGGGTATAAAACATATGCCCATTGACCATACAATGTAGACGCAGACAGATCTCAAGAAGAAAATCGTTAGCCAGATGAACATTGACAATATACGACGAAACACTCCCAATATTAAGAGATCAAGATCGGAAGGAATTAATTAAAACAAATTAAAGAGTCTATCGCAAAGATGACTGCAAAATTTGAAATGCTACGACCGTACGTGACCCCAGCTGAAATTAACTTTAGAAACTAAACGGCATTATTATGGCACATAATATTCAGCTAGATCGCGGCAGGTGGACTAGGGGAGAAGTAAAAAGCTAGTGTTTTGATTTTTGTTGTTTGTTTGTTTGTTGTTTTTAGGGCATTGGAAAGAGGTGAAAAGTGGAGAGTGGGGGGGGGGTCGCGAGAGTGAGAATTAGGAGAATTAAGGAAACGAAAAAGGAGGGGAGGGGTGGGTGAATAGAGAAGAACAATTGGTGGAGGAGAAGAACACTTATACAATGACATCGTTGGGAGGAGAAAAGGAAAAGGGAAAGGGGGACGTGGATAGAGCTGATGGCTTGTATTTCAGATATCCCACTAACTGGGGTTGGTCCTGAAAGACATGTATAATATTATCAGAGAGGGTTTACAGTAATATAGTATTACTGTAAACTCTCTGATATTATTATTGAGGCTCTCGTGGCCTTCAGTTAAGATGTTCGCCTCTCATTCAAAGGTCCCGGGTTTGAATCCGGGTAGCGACGGAAGAACTTTCTTCTCTAAAATTGTCTTCTTTCGCCTCCTTTTTTGCTCGTCAGCAATGTACTGTCGTCTGCTTTCGTTTCCACTTTCTGCCCCAACCATCACCCCTTTTGCCCCCTCCTCGACTGCTTCTGACTCTTTCTGCAGCCTTTCTAAGCTTGCTACTCCTTGGCTCCTTAATATTCTTACTGCTGTCTGTCAGCCACACCCCTGATCTTCTGGTAGGAAAGATCTACAACCTTGCCTTCTCGGACAAGGGCGGAAAATCTCGGAGGTCCAATGTGCAAGTTGCGCACGAAAGATACATCGGTGGTCTAAAATCGATAAGAGTAGACTTCGGCCGCCACCCGCGGGCAAAATTCAAAATTTCCTACCAGCTGAAAATGTTTATTAATGTGTCCCGCGCGCTCATATGACCTTAATATTATCAAAGATAATTAGTACACCCTATGGTAATTAAGATGTTGCACTGGCCCCATTTTGTGAGGCACATTAAACGACCCCCAGCGCCACCAGCGGCGAGTGTCCGACGGTTTGTAAACATGGCGGGTGAAACGCAACACTCTTCCTGTCGGCTAACTGGCCTGTTCTGTTCTGCGATAGGCTGTTCATTATTTTTTTTTTTAAGAAAAAAAAAAGATGGACGATGGGCTGTTCTAATTCAAGAGGAAAAACCAATCACCACTGTCTTTCTTCAGATTCCAAAAGTACGGAAAAAAGGAAATACAATCTGAAATTGATTTTTTAATCTCTAGAGTCTAGATTAAGAGCTAAACTAGAGAGATCAGATTCCAGAGTATTAGCTTTGTTTACTATCTGCATCACGCATCCATGACTATGACCAATGCTTTTGTGCTCTGTATACTTTGTTGTGTGTGGGCCCATTCCATTAGGTATAGATCTAGATTCTAAAAGTAAATGTTATATAGATCTATAAATTATGTTTTCTGTGGTGTACGTAATTTTGTAATTTGTCATTTAGCACAACACAGAGAGATCAATATTTTGCATTTAATTTGTAACTTGTTATGACGTACGGGCCATTTGCCTCGAAAGTCATTAAAGTCACGTTCAATTCAATTCTGTCTCACCACACATACTCATTCACACATATCATGTACGCACGCACGCACGCACGCGCGCGCGCACACACACACGCACACACACACACACACACACACACACACACACACACACACACACACACACATACACACACACACACACATTTTATTTAATCAAGTTACATTCACAAAACTAAAAGCAATCAATACGTTTACCATATGCCCTGACCACTTTACATTTTATCATCATCACGGCCACCATCACATCATCATCATCAAATCATCTTCATGTTCACCACAACAACCACCACCACAACCGTCCTGGGTGGGGCTAGGTTGCTTCCACTTCTACCAAAAGCAAGCAATAGAGCTCAACAATGATGATTTTCCTATACTCACGGTGAACCACGGCATTTTGAGAACCATTCAATGGAGGAGAATCAACTTGGTCTTCCATCTTTTTATTCTAAGTTAAATTCTTCTGGATGGCGGGGACGAAGCCGTTTCACCCCCAAATTTTTTCTAACTAATTTTCATCTGATGAAAAAGTTGCCTTAAAAGTTGTTCAACGTGATTTATAACACTTAAATCTCAGGGGCACACTGCACCTCAAGCGTATTAGATTATATTATTCCGTCTATTAGCTGGATTCGGCCGTGAAGTCGAGGAAAATTGAAAGCCCCGAACAAAGGTTCAATGAGAGCATAGGTGACTGTGTCACTGGGGAAAGTGTCTCGTTAACTTTTACCCAAGGAGTTTAGAACTACTGTAAACTCCTTGCTTCCACCCCATTGTCAGGGCTAGGCGAGCGTAGACATCATCATCATCATCATCATCATCATCATCAATGCCTTTCACCCCTGGCAGGGTATAGGCCACATACAAGCTCCTTCCATTTATCTCTGTCCTGAGCCATCATTCCAAGCTCGTTCCAAGTGAGCTTCATTTCTCTCATGTCCCTTTCCACGCATCTCCTCCATGTTTCCCGTGGCCTACCCCTGCCTCGTGCTCCCTGTGGGTTCCACTGCAGTGACTGTCTTGTGATTTTTCCGCTTAAGAAAGCCCAGCGGAAACAGCGGAAACAGCGGAAACGAGCGTAGACATACAAAAGAAAAATTCGTTAGTTTGTTATATCAAGTTAATAAGACTTACAGCTATGTTATATTCCTCATGCAACTATCGAACATTCAAGCTTTTGCCCAATGACTGGTATCAATTTGACTTAGCAGATCAATAATTTTATAAACACGTGTTATAGTTGTACTCTAGAAAAATCCTTAATAATTTAATACTAATTCTAAAAAATCCAAGTGAGTGGTTTCTATAGATTTTGAAAGGTTAACAGCTGGGGGGAATATCGCTTATAAAAGCAAGTCCGGATCGTCATTTTTTAAATCGCGACATATTATTACTACGCTTAATGGATGCATATTATTTTGAGAACCTTTAGTGCAAAAATATAGTGTTCCCTATAAAATTAATTTCTTGTAACAAGTTTTGCCACTAAAAAGTGTCATTTGGTGAGACGTACGTAGCCCCCATAACGTGTACAACATTAAATGTGTGGGAGAAGCGGGGAGTGCTGTAAACAATAATGTGTGTGTGTGTGTGTGTGTGTGTATGTGTGTGTGTGTGTGTGTGTGTGTGTGTGTGTGTGTGTGTGTGTGTGTGTGCTTGCGTGCGTGCACACACGCGCGTGAATAGGCTATCTGGATGACCGAGATTCATAGTATTTTATATACATTTATAAAGAAAAGTTTTTTTTAGCTAACCTAAATTGTTGTGGAAAATATGATTAAGATAAGACAAGTTGACACAAA